TACCAAAAGCATAACCACTTTTGTCTGATGGTTCAGCTCATGGTGACCATTCTTCAAGGATCGGAGGCTGTAGATCTTCAAGGGAGGAGACTGGAGGTTTTCTCCCAGTGAGAAGCTGGTGCTTTTACACGACCGGGCTTCCAGCCAGCAGCCCAAAATATTACTCACTATACCAGCAGGGTTCCTTGTCTCAGTATCACGTTATCGTAATTACTATACCTTTAGAATAGTTTTTAATATCTGAAAGAGTCTTTTCTTTTAGAATATCTTGGTTATCTTTAGCCTTTTTTATTTTACATTTGACATCCACTAACCATCTCATCAAATTCTGGCTTTTAGCATTTAATTTGGTTGGTATTCATTGTCTTTGGATTGGACCCAACTGGATTTGTTAGCAGGGCAATAAATCACATGGAAGGAAATTGCCCATCTTTCTCCACAGAGCAGCTGGTAAATTTTAACCAATTGACTCTGGGTTGGCTGTACAGCTACTTACCACAAGGCTACCAGAGCTGCCTATTGATTTAGTTGTGCATTTCCTTAATAGATAAGTAGTGCACTGATACAGATCCGTTGGGGGAAAAGTTGACCATTTTGAGTCTTATTCAAGAACATGACCTGTTTCTCAATTTATTTAGGTTTTTGCCAATATCTTTCAATAATGTTTTGTGATTTACTCCTTGAAATTCTTGTTTTGCTACGTATATATTTTAAGTACTTTATGTTCTTGTTTCTATTGTAAATAATATCTTAGAAATGAAAATATTTGCCTGTTGCTGGACATAGAAATACATTTGACTGTTATATTGATTAGGTGACCATCTACCATACAAAACTATCTTATTCTTTTTAAGATTGTAGGTTCTTTTGCATTTTCTGTGTGGTGCTGATTCTTGTTAGCCCCCTCAAATGACACCACCACCTAGTGAGCCCATGTACACAGAGTAGAAGGCTGCATAGAGTGTCTAAGATTGTGACCTTATGAAGCTGGTCTTCTCTGACACGTCTGGTGGAGTTCTAACTGCCAACCTTTTGACTAGAAGTTGAAGGCTTCACTGGTGCTATCATCCCAGGACTCTTCTAGGTAGACAGTCCTAAATTATGTGAGTAATGATAGTATTTTCTTCCTACCCTAAAAAAAAAAATCCTTTCTTATGCATAGGATAGGCACTCAAGCAGAATGCTGAACTTCCGGAAGATTGAGTTACCTGCACCTCATAGTGATCCTGTGTACAATAGCTCTGAGCCCAGTTACTGTGTACAGGGGACTTTTTTTAAAAAAAGACCAGGGTTTGCATTTTCTAGAATTTAATGCAATAGAGACTATGGTATTTAGGGATTTCACATGTATTAAAGGACAACATAGTACATCCCTCTGCTTTTTTCTGTGTGTAACATCTGCTTCTCCCTCTCAACTCTTAACAATAGATAAGAAGCTCTTTCTTTTTTTTTTTTCCTTTTTCTTTTTTTACTAATTTTAATAAACATTTACAGAGGTTATGGATTTCCATTCATTCATTGCCGCACTTTTCTCCCTGCCCACCCCTCCCCACCAGTTCACTCCCCTCTCCAAAAAAGAAAAAGAAAAAAAAATTCCTTCATTAGCATACAATTCCCCCATCCCATCCCCTGCCTCGAGTACACTTCTCTATGCAACCTTAATTCTGGATTCCTGTGCTAACCATAAAAAACTTTCTTTTAGAAATATTTTAGTATTTTTTTTTGTTTAGTAATGAGTCTGTACTTAAAATGTATTATTTCTTTAAGGATTTGCCATCTTCCTGCATTTTTCAGGAAAGAAAAACTCCACTTAAAAACATCTTGTGGATGGCTGTCGAGTTGATTTCAATTCGTCACAACCCTCGCTCAGGTTTCCCAGGCCATAAGTCTTTATGGGGGGAATCTCTCTCCCATAACTCATAGTGTTGATCTTTTAGTTAGCAGCCTGTCATGTTAACACACTGCACCACCAGGGACCCTGAAATGCAGAATAATTTTTTTGTGAGTTCAAGGTTGTCAGGTATCACTCTGTCCTCTCACTCTGTCCTGGATGAGGATGGCAGCGAGCTATGAATAAGACAAACGCCTCTGAGTAATTAATTCCTGAAGGAGCACCGACTGGCTCATTGTTTATTAAAACACAACTTCATTTATTTTTTTAAAAGAAGGCAATCAAGGTGACAGATGAGGAAAGCTTTAGGTCTAACAGTTATAAATAGTCATGCAGTTCATTCAATGATGTATTTACAATTCTCTCTCATGGCTATTCTGAAAATTGGATCCTTATAAAATATTTGTTTCTTGACCAAGGAGAGCAAATCGTTTTCAGTAGACTGGAGCTCTAAGATAATAATGGCAGGTGGTGAGCTCTGGGATCTGGAAGAGGTTGGCTGGTGTTTTAGGGTATTGCCATCAGCAACAGTTGATGATGGAGGAACATCTCTTCCAGGGGTCAGATGGCAGGAATACATCACTTGCCCTAACAACTGTTCAGATTGCTCTTGTTTCTTGTAATCAGATGAATACTTCCATCCTGACTGTCCACTGTATCGCGAGGCACTACGGGGAACACAAAGAGACAGGTGTTTTTCACAAAGAGGAAAAAGAATGAAACTTAATAGTATAACACCAAAGCTGAATAGTAACAGAAGACTGTTGTTATTGTTGTTAGGTGCCATCGAGTTGCTTCTGGCTCAGTAATTTGTACAATAGTACAAAATGCTGCTCAGTCTGTGCCAGGCTCACCATCATTCCTGTGCTCACGTGCAGCACCATATCCGTCTGTCTCTTTGAGGGTTCTGTTCATAGATTCTCTGCTTTACCGAGGATGAACCAGGAACTGGCCCCATAAGATGTCACGCGTAAAGTACATGAGATGAAATCTTGCCATTTTCGCTTCTCAGGAGCGTTCTAGTTGTACTTCTAAGACAGATTTGCTCATTCTTCCGGAAGCCCCTGGTATATTCACTATTCTTAGCCAGCACTGAAATGCAAAGGTATAAATTCTTATTTGGTCTTCCTTATTCATTATCCAGCCTTTCACATGCATATGACAGTAGACATGTGACAGAAGACAGTAGGATGTGAGATGCCACAAGGCATTACGATGATGATAATAGAGTATAAATATCACTTGGCTGTCCAAAGCATCTTTGATCTGTGACTGACAGTTACTTCTAACAAAGCATCACAAGCAGCGTGCCTGTGTCACAGTGCCACACATTGAAGACAAGAAGACTTTTTCCTTAAATAACTTGACCTTTAAGGGGTAGGAACTTAAGGGAAATTTACCAAACTCCATAATGTTTTCAAAAGTCTTACTGGTGAGGATGTAGGTAGCAGAAAAAAAAAACCAAGAAAAAACAAGACAACAGCATGAAGTCACTTTCACACTAGATCTGAACTCATGTTGAACCTCTAAAATACAGTAGAATTGCCCCATGAGGTTTTGATGCTATAAATATTTACAGGAGCAGAGCGCCTCATTCCCTTTCATGGAGAGGCTAGTGAACTGACCTTTTCCCTTATCCGCCCAGCTCTGAACCACTCCAGTAGCGGTGCTCCATGGGAAGAGCGAGCCCAACACCAAGGCTGCTGCTATCAAGTTGATAGAACTCAGAAAGAACCTCCACAGGGTGTTTCAGGCTGTATGTCATTACAAGAGATGCCCATTGACCATCAACAAATGAATGGATAGAAAAGCTCTGGTACATGCACACAATGGAATACTATGCAGCACTGAAAAATAAGAAACTCATGAAATATTATGCAAAATGGATGACCCTGGAGGACATTATGCTGAGTGAAATATCTCAGTCACAAAAGGACGAATGATTGCCTAGGGCTGCTGTTGTAAAATGGGAATGACATTGGGGTTGAGGGAAGACAGAAAAGGAGGGGAGGAATGATGTATACGGTATTGAAACGGATGAGGGAGAGAACTGTTTAAAAGGGATATATGATTGGGTATTATTGTCACTACAGAAGTCTGGAACAAAGACAGCATAGTGGAGTGGACTTGGGGGAAGGGATTGTATAACAATGAAAGAGTTTTACTTTTCAAGGAGAAGAGTGAATTGGAGGGATGGGAAGTGGGCAGGGAGAAAAGTGCAACAATGAATGAATGGAGACAGACAGACAGACGCACGCGGGCCACTGGTTCTTCTCGCCGCCGCCGCCACCGCGGTGGGCGAGCGGGACCGCGCGGCGAGGCCGGATCCCTACAGCTCCGGCCCTGCAGAGCGGAGGGAGCCACTCACGCTCGGACTCCTGCAGGTGCCCCGGTGATCTGGAGTTTACAATGCTGCAGGTCTGCGTCTGCAGGGGACTTTGCATTCTACTGGACGCCTGTCTCCCGGTGTTCCCCAACCTCCAGTCTCTGGAACCCGCCGTCGCTGGAGCTCTGAGACTCCGCCTGTTGCATGAGCTCAGGATACTACCTGCTGTGAAGCAAACACAAATGAACAGAAGCATCTTATGATTCCTACAAATGACACAGGAGCACCTCACCAAGGATTCCATCTCTGGCAAATCTATGGAACTCCTGCCTTCAGACAGCTATACTTTAAAGGGTCTGCTATCAGGTGCATGGAGCCAGGACACTCGTTTCTGAGGCCAGTGGAACGATGTCAGGCATTTGAGCCACTCGTCGTGACCCCGGAGCCCTGTCAGTCTGCAGGGAGCATCATGCTGCAGTGTACATCCTTCCAAGACAGGAACAAACCTCAAAATTGGCATTTTGGCCTGGTGTGTCCGTGATTTCACATCAATCCCTTTGGCCTGGACAGCTAGAGAACACAACTCTTCTCTTCTTTTGGGGACACTAAATCCCTATGTGTACTACAGATTCCAGTGAGGAAAAACAGGTGACACTTCTTGGATGATGATGGAGATCGTACTGGGCAGGATGAGGGCAGAGAGTGTGACATCGCCACCACAAAGGTGCAAAGTGATCGTGTTCATTTCCCTTCCAAGCCGGCGCTCCACCACCTGTATCCACCATGGTGTATGGTGAGTTCTTCCATCGCCCTGCACAGGACGAGGAACTTGTCAACTTGAATGTTGGGGGCTTTAAGCAGTCAGTGGACCAGAGCACCCTCCTCCGGTTTCCTCATACCAGACTCGGGAAGTTGCTCACCTGCCACTCTGAAGAAGCAATTTTGGAGCTCTGTGATGACTACAGCGTGGCCGATAAGGAGTACTATTTTGATAGGAACCCCTCCCTGTTCAGATATGTTTTGAATTTTTACTACACGGGGAAGCTACATGTCATGGAGGAGCTGTGTGTGTTCTCCTTCTGCCAGGAGATTGAGTACTGGGGCATCAACGAGCTGTTCATTGACTCCTGCTGCAGCAACCGCTACCAGGAGCGCAAGGAGGAGAACCACGAGAAGGACTGGGATCAGAAAAGCAATGACGTGAGCACCGACTCCTCCTTTGAAGAGTCTTCTCTCTTTGAGAAAGAGCTGGAGAAGTTTGACAAGCTACGATTTGGGCAGCTCAGAAAGAAAATCTGGATTCGAATGGAAAACCCAGGGTACTGCCTGTCCGCCAAGCTGATCGCCATCTCGTCCTTGAGCGTGGTGCTGGCCTCCATCGTGGCGATGTGCATCCACAGCATGTCCGAGTTCCAGAATGAGGATGGAGCTGTGGATGACCCCGTGCTGGAAGGAGTGGAGATTGCGTGCATCACCTGGTTTACCGGGGAGCTGGCCATCCGACTGGTTGCCGCCCCCTGCCAAAAGAAATTCTGGAAGAACCCTCTGAACATAATCGACTTTGTCTCCATTATACCCTTCTATGCCACGCTGGCTGTAGACACCAAGGAGGAAGAGAGCGAGGACATTGAGAACATGGGAAAGGTGGTCCAGATCCTGAGACTGATGCGGATTTTCCGAATCCTAAAGCTTGCACGCCACTCAGTGGGACTTCGGTCTCTAGGAGCGACCCTGAGACACAGCTATCATGAAGTTGGGCTGCTGCTTCTCTTCCTGTCGGTGGGAATTTCCATCTTTTCTGTGCTTATCTACTCTGTGGAGAAAGATGAGTCCACGTCGGGCCTCACCAGCATCCCCATCTGCTGGTGGTGGGCCACCATCAGTATGACGACCGTGGGCTATGGAGACACCCACCCGGTCACCTTGCCTGGAAAGCTTATCGCCAGCACCTGTATCATCTGTGGCATCTTGGTGGTGGCGCTTCCTATCACTATCATCTTCAATAAGTTTTCCAAGTACTATCAGAAGCAAAAGGACATTGATGTGGACCAGTGCAGCGAGGACCCACCAGAAAAATGTCACGAGCTACCTTACTTTAATATTAGGGATATTTATGCACAGCGGATGCATGCCTTCATCACCAGTCTGTCCTCCGTTGGAATTGTGGTAAGCAACCTGGAGTCGACCGACGCCTCAAGCATTGACAACAATGAGGACGTGTGTAGCACCGCATCCTTAGAGAATTGCACAGCCAAATGACCAGGGACATTCGTGCCTGTATCTTGTGTCCCTTCCCTACATTAGGTTAACACAGCTTTATAAACCTCAATGGGTTCGTTAACATCATTTACTTCTCAGGGTGTATCTTTCAGCCATAGTTGAGCATTCATTGCTTTAAAAATTATAGACTTGCCTTTATTTTTCTCAACAAAGTGAATTAAATGCCTTGTTCTGAAATTTATTTTTTACAAGAAAGAGTTGTGATACAGTTTTAGGAAAAAAAAAAGTAAATGGTAATGAGAGGGATTTGTTGCTATGGCTTATGCATCATTCTGTGTTTGTCATTTACTCACATTGAGCCAACTGTAAATTATGACAAGTAGAATCAAAGGCCTGGCTGACTGAAGACTCTACATGCATGTAAGATCCGCCAAATGAGACAATGCATGTAAATCCATGTTTACATCCTAGACATGGAAATGAGGAGCCTAATAAACTTCCTAATTCAGTATGGTGAAAAAAAAAACAACAAAAAAACAATGAATGAATGGAACCCCTAAGTCTCTGTAAACTTTCATTAAAATTAATTAAAAAGAGAGAGATGCCCATCTTCCTCCCTCAAAGCAGCAAGCGCATCCAAACTTCTGACCTTTCAGTGAGCAGCACAGCATGTAACATACGATATTACCAGAGCTCGAGACCCTTTAATACTATGCAATTACCCTTAAATACTACCAGTTACTATAACTTTGCTGGAGAGCAATATGGCAATAGGTACTGCAGTAATAATATGTACCCCTTTGGGTAATTCTTCTTACAGTAGTGATGGACAGGGTAATTTGGGTGTACCCTCTCTGTAAGAATAACTAGAAAGTTAAGTAAAATATTCCTTAAAACACAGGACAGTGAAAAATTATAGGGCCAACACTAGAAGAAAGGAAAAAACAAGGACAGCCAGTCTTTGGGGAGAACTTGATTCTCTGAGGTGCAGGTTTTTTCATAGAGACTGAAAAATAAAATAAATGATTCTAGGAATAAAATGTGGGAATTCATGGGACGCCCAGGAGGAAGAGATCTGGTGAATCCGCCAAGCTTTCTATCAAACCCAATGAAATAGGGCATTGAAAAGGCCTATATAAGGAGCAACGTCTCTGTTTTATATCTAGAGTGGTACTGGTTACATAGCTCTATCGGAGAACTGATAAATAATCACTTAAGTAATTTTTCTGTAGGACTTAATTTTTTCTTGGAATCATTCATACCTGAGAAAAGTTAGATCAAAGTGAGGGATTAATCTCACCCCCACTGAGTCACTAGGTGAAAACTGAAAGGAGATAACATCTTTTTAGATATGCAGAATATCTCTACAGTTTTTAAATTCACTTATCATCACTCAATAAAAAATAATCCATATGGAGATAAAAGACAATCTGAGAAAAAACAAAGATAAATAGCATAAACAAACTCACAAAGGAGCCAGATAATAGAATTATCAGAGACAGATTTCTTAATAAAAGACATGGGGAAGAATTTCACCAGAGGCTCAGAAACAATATTTTAAAAATCTAATGGAAATTCTGGAAATAAAAAACTCTGCTAACAAGAAAGCAATGGATGATTTGAACAGCTTATTAGGTATCGCCAGAGATAGATATTATCAGGTGAAAGGTAGATAAATCAAAGGGTATTATGCACATTGAAGCATGGAGTGATAACATTCCAAGAAAGCATGAGAGTTCATGAAACCTGGCAAACAAAAGAGGAGTCATCAGGAGAATTTCAGAAGGAAAGAAGAAAAGGAAAGCGGCAGCAATAAGTAAACAGAGTGGCTGAAAATCTTCCAAAACTAGTGAAAACATCAGTCTAGGAATTAGGAAACTCTACAGCCCCCAGTCTGCATAAATAACAACCACAGCTGGGAACATCCTCGTAAAAACGCTCAAAACTGAAGACAAAAAGGAAATCTTTAAAGCAGCCAGAAGGAAGGATCTTTGCTTTCCATGAACAATGACCGTCAGCTGAGCTGACTTCTCAACAGCAACAGAGGACAAGAAACAGTACACTGTTGTCTTCAGAGTGCTTTAGGATAATATAAGACAACACTCTGTTCAAGAATATATATGGTTTGATATAGTGAAAAGTTGGAAATCACATAAATGTCCAAAAGAAGGGACTAGTTAAAAAAAAAAATTTACCTGTGGGACTTTAAAATGATTCAGTTATTGTGGGAAACAGTTTAACACTTCCTCTAAAGGTCAAACATAAAATTACTATACAACTCAACAATCCTACTCTTATGTCTGTACTCAGAATAATTGAAAGCAGCTAGTCAAAGAAATATATGTGCTTTAGTGGCATCACGAGGGTCGCACAGGGTGATCCCAGGGGGTGACATTATCAGAGGGGTAATGCCAGAGTGACTGTCTAGAAAATTCTTACACAGAATTAAAAGAATTAAATTTCAGAAGACATGTATTAAATTTTTTGGGTAAAGTAGTCCTGTAGTTGTGATAACAAAAACATTTTTCATTAAGCCCCTCCTACTTGTGTCCACATACCTAGAGGCTAATATTTTATGCTAATTTACTTTTTGCACCCCTGCTAATATGCTTTGGTCTGAGGTGTAATTCTTACCCAGTTTTAATGATACTTTTAATCATGTCTCATGCATGCACTAAATGCCCCTACCCTTGCTTTCCTCACTGCTGGTGTTTTGATATTGTTAGTATCTGCCATCACTTCAACTCTAACTCGTCAACCTTTAAACAGCAAATAAGAACCACATCCTAGGGAGATCTGGTGGCCAAAAAGCTGCACTGCAATCCCAGAGGTGTGCGCTTCGAATGCTCTGCTGGAGAAGGAGGGACAGTCTCCTCCGGTACCAGTCAGATCTGATTTGATGCTACACACACAAATAGAGAAAGAAAAGAAAAAAAACCCCAAGCACATCCTATCCTGCGCCACCCTCATAATCCCACCATGGGTGGGCCCATCACTACATCACTCCGTCTCCGGGAAGGTCTCCTCTCTTTCTGACCCCCCATCTTTTCCAGTATGTTATCTTTTCCCGAGATCTAGTCCTCCTGACAACATGCCCAAAGTATGCGAGTTTCACCATCCTAGTCTCTAATGAGCACTCTGGTTGCACTTTCTCCAAGACAAATTTGTTTTTTCTTCGGAGCCACTGGACTATTCAGTACTCTTCTCCAGACCACAATTCAAAGGCTGCTTCCACGTTCCTGATTGATGTTTTAAAGGCTGAACCTCCAGCCTTTCAGTCATCAGCCAAGTGCATAGATTCTTTGCACCACATCAGGACCCACCAAGTATGCAGGCCTGAAATCATGGTTTCAATGTGTTCAGAGGCTCAACTGTGGGGAGAAAATTAGATCAGTTCAAGATAACTACTGAAGTAACAGAACAGTGACAGCAAGAGGCTGAGTATGCTTTACTGCCGCAGAGTTCAAGGTAGACATGGGGGATTCTAGCAGGCAGTTGTTGTTAAGAGCTGTTGAGTTGAGTAGAACTCACAGCGACCCTATGAACAACATGTCTGAGACCTGCCCCGTCCCAAGCCATCCTTATCAGCTCCTTCACTCTTGAACCTGTTCCCACAGACACTGTATTATTCCAACTTATTGGGGGTTTTCTTCTCTTTCACTGACCCTCTGCCTTTCCAAGCATGATGTCCCTTTCCAGGGAAGAGCCTAACAACATATGCCCAAATGGTGTGAGACACTTTTTCATCTCCTTTGGTCATAGATCCCCAACACGGTGGCTTGGCATGGCAACAGGAACAATGTGTGTGTCAGACATGGTGGGGATGACCCAGGACAGCACAGAGTTCAGATCCCTAGATCGTAGGGTCATGATGACTGAACGGCACATCACAGGAGCAAGGTGGTTATAGAAGGGAGCGCTGAAGGTGTAACCCCGAGGGACTGCACTGCTAACCCAATGGTAGGGCCTTCCCTTGGGGATTCTCACCAACCAGCAGCTCCTCCGTGCAGCCTCTGCAAACCCTCGGGGGTCAGCTGTGAGTCTCTTGAATCAGAGGAATTGAGCTGCTGTTGCTTAATCCGGTGCAGAGACATGATGCAGGCATCCTAACAGTGTGTACGGGTAACGGGATGGTGCAGTGCCGTTGTGGGTCATGGGGTCTCAACTGTGTTACAGGCCGAGAGATCCGCCTGCCCCTCCGAATCAGAGGGGAAGGAATGGGACCCAAGATCCATTTCAACTTTGAACTGCTGGATATCGGAAAAGTCTTCATTGGATCTGTACATTGTTATGAGGTAAGCAGTAGAATTATTCATTAAAACCTTAAACAGTGCTTCCTTTCTGTTTTCATTTTCTGGAAAATTTTTGGAGTTGCCCTCATTTGCCTCACTCTTGCCGTCTTCTGTTCCAGCCCTGTCAGTCTCTGCCTCCCTCCTCTTTCCTGGTTTTGCCCTTTTCTGTTCCCTGCATCTTATCCCTCTCGCATTTTACCAAGAACTGAAGCACATTGAAGCCAGCGTTTAATTGGGCTGATTTCATCATCCTGCGTGTTGCAAAGGGGAGAACCATAAATACATCTCTCCATCTGTTTTGTGCTTGTTTACTGACAACCGAGTCGACGGATTAGGGGATAAAGAACCTTGTACATTTTCCAGAATGTCCTAATGAGGAGGAAAGCTGTTTTCTCACTGGAGATTTTGCTCTGAATGTCCTCATCCCCAATCCACATCTGAAAAGCCAGTCACTGTGGGATCTGGAGTAGACCTCTCTGCTTTGTCTTTCCAAAAAAGGTGGAAGTGGTTCTTGCTTAGGAGACAGTCATGGGCTCTCTGGGATCAGTAGTTCTGCGTTGCTGAATTTGTACCGAGGGCACTTTTTTGGCAGTACTCATTAAAGCTTTCTTCTAGACTATTTCTCCATTGAATTCATTTGTACTGTTCTCAGAGATTGTGCAACCTGAGGGGATTTGGCAGGTGGTTCTGGAGGAGATGTACCACTTGGCTTCACATCCCCTTAGCTGCACCTAACTGCAGAGGATGTTGCCTGTAGCCAGGACCGCAGAAAGAACAAAAGACCTGCCTTGGCAGAAGAGCGGCCGGAAGGCTCCTTAGAGGCAAGGCTGGTGGGACTTCATCTCAGATACATTGGCCGTGTTAGCAGAAAGGCCCAGTCGCTGGAGAAAGACTGCATGCTCGGTAAAAGTAGAAAGTCAACGAAAAAGAGGGAGACCTTCAACAAAGTGGAGTGACAAGAAGGCGGCAACAGAGACGGTGAACATGAGGCAGGGTTTTGTTCCATGTCCACAGAGTCACCGCGAGAAGGAGCCGAGTCAGTGACTCCGTCAACCACAACAACTGCAGAGGAGGCTGCGACATGAGCTCAGTGACCAGCAAGCCTGACTCAGCCGCAGTGTCATGGACCTTGGCTGAGTGGCCCTGCTAATCATTGTCTAGTCAGTGTTGGTGAGCTGGTCGCCGGTTGACTAGAGTGTGTATGCCATTTGGAAGAGTAGGTTCTTGGTTGGCTGTCAGGTCCTGCTTACTTACTCACCAGCGTCCCTCCATTCACGGGCAGGCATGGGCTGTAGCCAGCTCTGCCCTCCACACAGCCTAACGTGGCAGCAGGGGCCAAGTTCCTGTGCTGGGAGAGCTGTCTACGGTGTCACCCACCTCTGCATTCACTGGTCTCTCTCTGGCCTTAATGGGATGGTGTGTAAGCTACACAGAAGTGTCGACAGTGTGACACTATTACCTTGATACTGAAATTAGCCGCATGGCTATCAGAGTCGCCTAAGCGTGAGGCTACTGTGATTGCTCTGTGAAAGGAGGAGTGGAAACCAAAGGGGACAGAGTTGGTATTGCTGATACTCCATCTGTAACTGACCAGGGAGAATATCCCTGTTTACACCTTTCAGATGCGAATTACTAATGGCCAGTCAGGAAAGGAGCTTCCTTTCTGACCCAGAACAAATAGGGTTTCCCTGAGTGTAATAATCGTTTCTTACACATTTAACTGAAGCATGTTTTATGCCACCACTTCCTGTCCTCCCAAGTTTTAAAGGAAAGCAAACCCCAGCAGCCAGATGAGTGTGAAATGAGGTGACGCATCACGCCGGCCATCCTGAGAGCTTTGCAGCAGCAGGGAAGGGCATGGCGAAGTGCTTCTTATGGGATATTTTGCACTCTCTGCGTATTTAATGCTGATGCCTCATTGCATCTCACTTTCAATTTATTACATTACCTACTCGAGACAGATTTGAATAACTAGCTATCGCTTAGTCATTGCTGAGCTTGGCAGATACATGAAGAATAAGCCTTAACCCCCACGAGTGTACACTATTCCCCGGTGTAATTAGGGAGGAGAACAGATGAGAGGTGCAGTTCTGATATAAATCCTCTGCTCTCCATGGAGGTGGACGGCAAGGGATGGGAACTACTGGTGATCAGAAGGCTTTAGAGCTTTGCCCCACACAATTTGCTGGAGTCGGTATAGGTGAGTCAACGTTCCTGTCCTTAGTGGTAAAAAGTGACATGCATAATTTTTTTTACAATGAAGAAGCTGACACTTTATTAAAAACCTTGGTAAAATATTGCTGGTAAAATCCAAGAAAAGTCAATCTATGCATCTTTTCAAGAAAGAGAACTTCTCATGAGTTGCCACAAATCTATCAGTTGCTTTTTAAGCACAGTTCAAGTTCAAATACAGACCCTTGCCTGGCCCTGGGGATATAACAGACAATCATGGATGCTTACTAGCCCTGTTTTCCAGGCATTGTTGTTAGAGTTGTAGACATTTAGTTACTCCATTTTATGGGTGGGTGAGGAAGCTGGAGCAAAGAGAAGCTAAGGGGATTGTACAAGGTTAACCTTGAATCCCAACCCATTGTCTTTGAGTGAATTCCAACTCATAGCAAACAAATACATCTTGGAGAAAGTGCAGCCCGAGTGTGCCTTGGAGGCAAAGATGATAAATCACGACCTCTGGCTCGCTGGGTAAAGGAGAAGATAGCACAAGAAGAGGAAACCCCTCGGTGCAGTGGACTGTCACCGCCGCGGCAACCGGGGCTGAGACATAGCAGTCCTGTGTGTGGCCTGGGCCCAGGCAGTGCTCTGTTCTGTCATAAACATGATCACTTCACTGTGAGTCAGAACCAACTTCGTGGCACCTACCAACAATAGCAAATTCCTTCACCTTTCGCTGTCCTAACTGGTGTCAAACCATTCAGCCATACGGTTTTCTGAAATAGGTCATTTTGGCCTTAGAAAGGTCTACTGCCTATCTTTTCATTCGTTTTTCTTATTGATACAGACGATACTATGCAACAAAGGCAGCATTGATGCCCTCTTCAACTTGGTGACGCCAACTACGCCATTGGGATCCTGCTTCGTGTTCAGCCCCAGTGAAGGCATCATTGAATCAAGTCAAGTCCAAGCTGTCCTGATCTCCTTCAGTTCTACCACCCTGGGGGCCTTCGAAGAGGAGTTCCTGATCAATGTCAGTGGGTCACCAGATCCTGTGAAACTGGTCATTAGGTAAAGTGCATCTACAGTCAATGTGGAAACTAATTAAAGTTTCTTACCTACTGCTGTCTTGGCCTTTAAATTACACCTTGGAGGTCCATTGCTAATTTTGATAGGAACATATTCACAAAATGAGGTATTTTAAAAGTCTACCAATATTTCCCTTAGTGAAGATGTGTAATATATTGTTGAAATATGAGTACAGATCCTGTCCTTGAAGCCTGTTTTGAGGGTTAGCTATAACCTTATAAACTATAAATTTAAACTGTAGGCTATTTTCTAATGACAATCTGTGTTTTAGAGTTTTTAGAGAAAATAAACTCTAGAGTAATTCCTAGGGGGGAAAAATGTCTTCTTAGCTAAAATTTGGTAGTAATGACAGTTTCTGGAAATCTTCAGTTTTTATTTTAAGGAAAGTCTTTGAATGGTCTTACCTGTTACGCCTGCGGGCATTACAGGAGTCCACTCACAGGACTAGTCAGCCAGCGCTCACAGGGCCAGGCGGCCAGCGCTCACA